ATACAGAATTACAGATTGCAGTGCTGAAATTAATTTTTTTCGAAATTTGGCACGTAATGGGGGGTATTTTGTAACTTGATCAAGTGAGGTTCCTGTTGTTTCTTGTCTATCTCGTAAACGTTTCGTCTGATTGGTGTTTGCTTTGCTCCTATGAATTTCTCTTAAATTGTTCTACTTGTATACAGAATTCCAGACAGCAGTGCTGAAATTAATATTTTTTGAAATTTGGCACGTGATGTAGGGGTATTTTGTAACATGATCAGTTAAGGTTTCTTTTGTTTCTCGGCTATCTCGTAATTTAATCGTAATTTTTCTTTGCACCTATGACTTTCTCTCCAAGTGCTCTACTTGTATACAGAATTTCAGATAGCAGTGCTTAAATTAAATTTTTTTGAAATTTGGCACGTAATGGGGCAGTGTTTTGTCCTTGATCTCGCGAGGTTCTACTTTTGTTTCTCGTTTATCTCGGTAACTATGTTTGTTTGGAGTAAATTTGTAACTATGAATTTCCTTTATTGTGTTAAACTTGTATGCAGAATACCAGACAGCAGTACCAAAATTCATATTTTTCGAAATTTTGCCTGTAATGGGGGGGGGTGTTTTGTACTTGATCACTCAAGGCTTCACCTTGTTTCTCGTTTATCTCTGATACTTATTAGTAGTTTAACTCTGAGTCTTATTGGAGTTTGGTTAACTCCTATGAATTTCTCTGAAAATGTTCTACTAGTATACAGAATATCAAATATAAGTGCCAAAATAATTATTTTTGGAAATTTGGCACTTAATAGGGGAGGGTTTTGTACATGATCTGTCGAGGCTGCACTTTGTTTCTCGTCTACTTCGGAAACTATTCGTCTGATTGTAGTTTTGTAACACCAATGAATGTCTCTTAAAATGTTCTACTTATTTACAGAATATCAGATTGCAGTGCCTAAACTAAATGTTTAATCCCCGACAAAGAAATGTATATTAAATATTGTTTTTTTACATGCCTAAAAAACATATAATTTGAGGCACTGGAAATGACCGCGCAAAATACTTATTGTTTAATCACCATCATAAACGAGTTTCAGGTTTCCTTCTACAATTAACATTATCTAGTGTTATCGTTACCAAGCGATTAATCGATCAAACCGGAAGCAAATATTGGAAGGTAGATCCACCCGCTTGCCACATTTTACATTACGTAGAAGAAGGACGCGATATTTGAAAATAATAATAACTGGTCATAAACGATAATAAGAACAAAAGGTAAAGAAAAATTAAAAATGCTGAATATTAGGATTCGCCCATTTTAATACAACATGCCGGCAACAACAGTCAAGGGCTATACCACATGTCCAAGCTTATATAGCTATTTCACATTGAGAATACAGTGCTGCATTTGTATTGCGGGTCTAACATAAAGTTACATTTAAAACGTTTTAATAGCTTGTAGTGTTTGAGTGTCGCTTAACATATCTCGTTGATAAAACATCCTTTAACAATTTTAAGGTTAATTACTAACAAATACATTTGGGTTTGTTAGTTAATCAATTACTGAAATGAATATATATATATATATATATATATATATATATATATATATATATATATATAGAGAGAGAGAGAGAGAGAGAGAGAGAGAGAGAGAGAGAGAGAGAGAGAGAAGTCATAGCAACTATTGTTTCTTAAAGGAAATATTATCAGGTTATATAATTTTGTCGCATGAAAGAAATGCAGTTTGTGTTCACAACAACAGATGTTTCTTTCAGTGTCTCTATTAGCACAGAGAGCGTTGTGAAACAAGTCGTCTAACAACCACTGAGCAAAACCATTTCGAGCCCGGTTCCTAAACAAAGACTGCCGTTCTCCGCTGAAGAAATGCCCCAGGGACCTGTGAGAGAGCGCACCGATGTGGCACGTGCGATAATCAAACACTTGCTGGAGGGAGGCAGACGATAGACCCTACTGGATTCAAAGAGCGAAAGTGGCGCTTTCGAGAAACGCATCCTCGCAGGTCTTCCTGTGCGTTGCCAATCGCAGGTTTCTATGCGTCCTCGCTGAAACACTCCTGGCTCTATCTCGGCCTTCCGTAATGCAAGGGCATTATTCCCAATAGCGTCCACCAAATTCCTGTGACGTCGAAGGATATTTATTCCACGAGAACATCTGTCGGGATGTAGGAGAGTTAATTGAAATTATTACACTCATCTCGCACCGTGGTAGTCAGACAACTGATTTCACATTGTCTCAGTGCTAATAGAGACATTCAAATAAAATACAGTTGTTTTGAACACATATCAGTTCTGCAGTTCTTTCATAAAGGAAGTAAAATTATGATCTTATTATATTTATTTCAGAAAACAAGTACTAACCAACGTTTCCTGTTCCAACCCTCGTATACATACATACAAATGTGTATCATTATATTCACTTATATTCATCATATTTTCAATCAGATTATCATTTTCAGTACGAAAAATATAAATAAGAACGTTGGAATCAAACTATTGCCAACTTCTTACGGAAGGCAAAAGTATGAATTAGAAACACAATTAACAAAAGCGGATACTAATTAAATATCACCCCAATGCGCTAAAAACAAGACCCTGTCTCACTTCACTGCCAGACACACGTCGGTTCTAAAACCCCAAAAATACGCCATGAAAATGAAATAAAAGTTTGCGGAAATCGTTCCGACGCAAACAGATGTTCCTTCTTCCCAACATTGGCAGGGTAACCATGACCTGCCTGACCTCAAACAAGAGCATGTTGTGGTCCCAAATACAGAGGCCCATGGACCATTTGAAGAAATTAAAAACTGCGCAAATTGCATTTACACAAGCAGATGATATTTTCCCAACATTGGTGGGGTAACCATGCCCTGCCTGGCCTCATAGACGAGCATGTGCTGGACCCAAACACAGAGGCCAATGGTACACTGAAGGAATTAAATATGGCAAATATCGCGCTTACACAAGCTGGTTTGTTCTTCCCATCAATGGTGGGGTAACCATGCCCTGCCTGACCTCACACACAACCATGTGCTGGACCCAAACACAGAGGCTAATGGACCATTCGAAGAAATTGACTTCGGCGCGAATCCCACCTACATGTTATTATTCTCATCACTAGCGGGGCAACCATACCCTGCTAGGTCTCACTTATGACCTCGTCTTCCCAAACATAGACCAACGGGTCATTCGAAGAAATTAAAAACTTAACTAGATGTTATTCTTCACATCAATTGTGGGGTATCCATGCCCTGCCTGGCCTTACATATGAGAATGCGGTTGTCTCAAACTCAGAGGAAAATTAAATTCTCAGCGGAACGATCCTGCATAACCAAATGTTATTCTTACTTACTAAGATCTTTCTGCACATACCAAGTCTAAACAACTATATCCTTTATAAAATGTATCATTCTCAGAACTAAATTTGCCTTTATTATATTAAGGTGAATAAAACATATATTGTTCTTTACGATTGAGTAGATTCCGTCTTTTGTAAATATCTTATAATATGTGTATAATAATGTTTTTTTATTTATTTTTCAGTAACTATAATTAGAAATAAATGTTTTTTGTCATTCACTGGTGGACCTTTTTTTCATCTTAGTCACACAAATTGTTTGTAGGGGTTCATTTTATTACTTAGAAATAACCCATGTCATTAACAAATTTAAAAACAATATAATTTTTACATAATAATAACAATAAAAATAATAACAATAATATCTCAACATGTCCAATTGTATCAAATTCGTCATATGGATAGGATCTGCCTATTTGAAAGGGTAGATCTTTAACTCTCTCAAAGTTCTAAAGATGCACTATGTAATACGAACACTCACCATAACATGTACGTCTGACAGTGTACAATATTGTTCGAACAACAAATTCATACTGACCGATAGCGCAAACAAACAGGACATTCGTATCCTAGATTTGGAGAAAAAAAGTTTAATTGGCGATATTGTTGTGTCGTGCGATCAAAACGTTGTGACTAAGGAGGAAGGCAAACGACTTAAAAAGAGAGTTTGGAAATAGAGATCAGCCGAGCACAAGTCAGTAGTCATCGGACCTCTCGAATTATTCCGCGAAATTTGTGTAAGAACTTGGCTAACATACAAAGTCATTCAAAAGTCTGGGAAGTACGAGACATTGCTTTATTGGGAAAACCACACACATTGTAGAGGCACCAAAAGTGTCTAATCTTCTCTGAGAAAGCTGCATGCCCCCGATGGCTTTAATATTCAATCGTCTCACGATATCTTAAGACCGAATTAGAGGTATATATAATAAATAATAATATAATAATATATAAAAAAAAATAATAATAATACGGTAATGTTGGGATACTGGAATTCTATCATTGAACAATAATTGTATTTTAATATTGAAAATAATATCATGACAAAATATACAATAAACTGTGATGTACCTTTTTACATTACTTTTTGAAATGTATCAAACCTTTGTTCTATTTTGTTATAAAATGTTCCTATTTTTATACTTAATGAATTATTGAATTTTTATGTAATTTACTTCTATACTTCTGTATGCCTGCCAAAACTAGTATTGCATAAAAAAGTACGTTTTCAAAATGTAGAATCTGAACTTCATGATTCTTGCTCTTAAAACTCATAGATCGATAGAGGCAATGGCAACTGAGGCGATTATTGGAAAGAAGTGAAACGAAAAGTAGAAATGAAAGCGACCTCTCCGTTTCATTAAACGTTCGTGGATTCCCTGCCCACGTAGAGTTATGCATGCGATCAAAAGCGATGCAATGTTTTGTAACACATTTTTAACACACCTGTGCATCTGCACTGTGCATATCACGTACATCAACTGCTTCAAGGCACACAACAGTTACAGAGCTCGTCCTTGGTAATGCAGATCGCTGGCATTGTGCATGTACGCGGGCTATTCCACGAGCAAATTCGGTCACCTTGAGCACCAGATGTGTGACGTCAAGTACCATCCATAATAAGGACACCCACGCCCTGCGTAGGTGCGGGAGTCTGCCTCACTGTGCACGATGAAGCTGTTGCTGGTGAGTGCTTCACAGAACGGGCGTTTCGCAGGGCAGAAATCGTAGTAAACACAGTGGTTTCCTGGGAGTCGGTATGTTGTTTCGAGGACATAGGTTTTGAGCCGTCAGATGTTCGATCCGAAGTTTCATCAGAGCGTATGGCTAGAGCGTAATTGAAATCAAATGTCTTAATCTTTTGGTCGGCGTTCTGGTCCTGTGAGTAGTTTCTGGTAATGTTGAGAGGTTAAATATATCTGAATGTTGAGAAGCCCTAGGTATTCACGGGCCAGGGCCTGTGTAATGCGAGTTTCTTTATGTGGGTGAGATTGCTTCCCAGAAGTCATTGAGACCTACAATTCATAGTTATTGATCGAAATAATCTGAGAGTACACGTTAGAAAATCTTAGAACGTTTTGTAATTGCTTTATTATATTACTTGGTTGTTTTGGCATCACAGGTTTCGAGAATGGTATTCGTTCGGGAGTTGCATCAAATCTTGTGATTAGTACACAATAGTAGTAGCAAGTAATAGAGTATCCTTTGTATCGGTGTTCTATCGTGAAATGATAAGTAATGTTCCCGTTCATAGGTTATAACATGTCTTAATGTTACGATATCTTTGGAAAGCCTTGTGAAGGAAATTTTTTAATGACGGTAAGATCGCTCGCAAGAAATGAGTTCGTCATACAAAGGCACAATAAGAAATGTCATAGATATGAAATTGCAGTAAACGCTTTATATTGATTTCCTTGACTCGGTTTGCCGTATGTGGGACAAAGAGTTTAAGAACAGAGGAGGAGTTTACATAATTAAATTCTGCTCGTAGTAGTCACTTTGTTTTGTTTCGGCATTCTGTTTCTGAAAGTGGCATCTGAGAAGTAACATATCTTGGTAGATTAGAACAGAGTTTTGGGAAATTCGTGTAATGGAGATTTCTTGATGTCAAATGATGGGGATGCCATTAGCTCATTGAGACCTATAATCAGACATTACATTGGTAGTGAATAGTTTGTAAATGTTTCGTTATGCTGAGTGCTGTGATGAGAAGATAGCTTTTGGGCCGTCAGATATTAGATCAAAGATTGTCACAGCGTAGGGGTACGAATTTATGTAAATCTAATGGAATAAAGATATGTTTGTTTTCTGTTTATGTAAGTGGTTTCTGATAATGTGTAGATGTTAAAAAGATCTTAAAAATTAAGAAATCCTAGGTAACTCTTGTAATGCAAGTTTCTTGGTGTCGGTGAGATTGCTCAAGAGAAATCGTTGAAAGATATACTTCATAATCATTTAGAATTATAATCAGAGAGAACATGAGTAGAAAATCGTAGAAAACGTAGTTCCAGTAGGAACACTAATTTCCTTATATCTGTGTGCTGTGACGGCAACATAGTTTTTGAATAGAGATTCTTGAAGTTTACATCTCAGCGCAAGGATAAAAAATTATAGTAACCACCTGAAAGGGAGAATTGTTTGTGTCGGTGTCCTGTGTCTGCAAGGGATTTCTCATAAGTAATACGTCAGTTGCTAGGTTAAAGAGAGGAGAGTTAGAATATACCAGAAAAAAAACATGAAAACATTGGAACATACAATTAAAAAAATATTGTAAACACATACGATTAACAATTTTTCATGTCGGTAATTCGTCAGATAAAACAAGTCAGTGCTTGAAAAGAATTTACTTCAGTGTTTAGTTCAGAAATCGTTGTAAAATATTGAAGCCAATTGTCTGTGTTCTGTGTCGAAAACACAGCACTCAATAAAACCATGCGGATAGTTGGAGATTACTAGACAGAAAGTGGGACTAAACACGTGGACAGAGGTTTCTTTCTGAGCATGTTCGGCGTGAAGTCAGGTCCGTGATCGGTACATGAGAGTAAATTCAAAGAAAATTATTGAAATTAAATTTAATGAATTGTGATGGATTATCGTGGGTTTTTATAAAAACCATCACAAAAGTTTAAAAGGAATATATTAGGAAAATAAACTATAGAAGTCAATACAGACGAAAAATAAAATACAAATAAATAAAAATAGATGGAAATGACCAGCGTAGTAAAACGGTGGCAAATAAAGTGCTTAAATGTGTTTGTGAACACGTGAGGAAATTCCGTGAATAACATTATAAATAATGAATATATATCAAGGGCGGATGTCAAAGAATAAGTATTGTAGTATGTGAAAAAGTAGTAGCCACTCGGAAGGATCACGAACACAACACAATTGGGGGGGGGCGCAGAACTAGCTAGAAGATACAGATTTGTTCGAACATAGTTTCAACTGCAAAGAGAGATGTCAAATGTAAATATGAATATTATATATTATATATATAATATATAATATTCATATTCATATTCAGGTCCTCAGTACACTACGTAACAAAAAAGTCAATTAACTATAAAGAAGTTTTAGAAAATAGATGTGATGTTTTTTTGTCTCTAGTAGTTAGAAGAAGAGAGATCTGCAAAAGTTGAATATATAAGCTACATAATTTTTGTGATGAAATTGCTACTATTTTATGTGTCATTTGCAAATAATATGAGAACCTCTGCTACGCTGTATAATTAAGGATTGTTCATTTCACAGTTAACAAACTAAAAGATTCAGTTATTGTAATTATGACTCTGAGTTGTTTATTTGTTCTACTAACTTTATTATTTTTGTGTGCTGTGCTCATAGGTTCTTGCTGCTTTAGCAGCTGTGGCTTACGCCCTCGGCGGCCAAGGTGGTTTTGGTGGGTTTGCTCCAGGAGGACTTGGAGGGATCTTTGGTGATATTGGAGGGCCCAGCGGTTTTGGAGGCGGCGGTTTGGGCGGTCCGAGCGGTTTTGGCAGCGAGCGTTTCGGACCTGGCGGAGGCGGATTCGGTGATGGCGGGATAGGATTCGGGGGCCTGGGCGGGCTTTTCGAACGCCGCGCCGCTCCGCCCCCCGAGGAGCGCAACGGGCGTCGGTAGGCGGTCCCCGGCGCCGCGTGAGCAGCAGCCCTCAGCGGAGGCTGCCTCCGTTGGCCACTGGGCCGCCATTGGCTCTTCGCGCCGGTCAGTCCGCAGCTCTCTCCTCTAGCGAGGCAATGAACTCGGTGTCTGTATACTACTGCATTTCTCAGTGGAAATAAATGAAGATGTTCATACCAGAGTTTGTGAGTTACTTCTCCTCGCTTTGTTCTCCATTCGTGATCGCAAATAACCTAAATAAGTGCTATCAGTGGTTTCATCATTCACCTTTTTTTCATTGCGGGCTATTTAAAAATCCCATATCATTGGAGTTAAATCCCGTGTAAACCAACAGTAAAGAAAAAATAAAATTATGTTTTTATTCATATTCGGTTTACGTTGCATAATAATTCCTTACAAAAAACTAAGACAAAATTGTAACACACTTACAAAATTAACAAAACTAAAGTGAAAGCTTTAGTTCGAAAAATGAATGCAAAATTAATACTCGAATAACCTACCGAAAACTGATGTTTGTAAACTGAAAATCAACTATGTTTGAATGAAAAAAGAAATTATTTTCTAATTTTTTTGCGTTGCCAAATCACCATATAATTAAGTTCGCGAACCCCTTTAAAATACGAACACGTAGTTGTTCGCAAACCATCGGTTCAGAACCGTTGTTGTCTGTTGTTCAGCTCAGCAAAACATTAAAAACTCTTGCGAAAGTATGCGTTTTTGTTAGTGTATTATCTTAAAACGCTCACGAATATATAAATAGTTCAAAGTAGAGTCCTTACAAGGGATACTTCACATAATGATGTACATTTTGAGCCATCGCCTTACAACTCAGCCTTGCAACTCAAAAAGTGTGTTACATGTTTGGTTCCTCAGAAATGTCTCGCTAATAAAATATTTTAAGGAAACAGTCTTAACAAATTTTCCAATAACATAGTATAGTATATATGCAGTACAACAGTGTTTTTTTCACAACGAAGAATATTATAAAAAGTTAAACTTCCACAATGCACCTTCTGAAAAGCAATTGTTTCATTTGGTGACGTTTTCCTTGACTTGCGGACGCATGAGCTGTGTTGTAACCAGTGATGCTCTAAGTACGAGAATTCGCAGTACGAAAAAGGAGACAAAATGACTACATAAAATATTTGTATTTTTCGTTCGAAATCGGAACTATTTCTTTGTTTTTGTTTTTTGAGTTCTTGAGTATCTATCATTTTGAGGACGAGATAGTACAATGTATACATCATTCATTAAGAAGAAAAAGCGTTTACGTGCTTTTTTTATTATAATAGTTATTTACCTGCGAAATACAAATACGTGAACTCTAGATTAGCAAATTGCCCTCGTGAGTGTTACGTATTTTAACGCTCTATCTTATCAAAATTGTCAGCACTTCCTCCTAAATTAAAACTAGTTACAATGCTCTTGAAAACATGACATGTTCCTTAAGCACCCTTGACATACATGTAATGACTCACGGACAATTACGTGCACACCAAGACAACCGTTCTATAGATCAAAAGCAATTAAAAACTACTGAGATACCGAAAAAGTTCCTCCTCTTAGTATTATTACTCAACAATTACTCAGATTTTGAAAAAGTATACGACATAATTTACAGATCTATGCTTAAATAAAATTATGAAAAAATCAACCCACAAGAATCAATAAGGTTGAAAAATGTTTTGGAAAGTTGAGACTTAAAGTATCAAGGAGCAAGGATGAAAACCAAAGATGATATAGTATGTGAATGATTCGGTTTTAATTAATTTAACCTATTATATTTATCTTTGGTTCTGAAATGTGTGAACGTAAGATACGTAAAATGTGGAGTGTGAAAATCAAAGGAATAAGGCTCAAATGTGTAGAGAGCGCCATTTCTTACATGTTTGCGAGTTGATGGCGTTCTTCATAATGCCTTTCAATTGAGGAATAAATTACATTGAGAAGATAAAATATGTCTTGGAGTATTGGAAGTGTTCATTTCAAAATAAATTTGAATTAGCTGAACCCCTGCAATTATATCGAATTATAGGAAGGGATGAAGAACAGCTGCAGTAGTTCTCCATATTCATTATACGGAAAATCGAAATCCTTGGTTATGGCGTTCAGAATTTATTCTCGAAGATTATTGACATGAGATAGATTTATAAATTCTGGAACAATATTAAATTCTGTCACTATTTACTGTGAATACAGAAATGAAAATGTTCTTGAATATTTAATTGAAATATGCTATACTTATCAAGATGTTGTGTGATACTTATCAAGTGTGTGTGTTAAAGGGAACTAAAGCAAATAAATCTTGCTGACCTTTTCAAATTAAAAAATGTAATGCACCACATATAATATTATAAAATTGGTCTTTTTTGTGGAGGGACACACATGTCAGACGATTGCTGAACCCACATATATTTACATTAAAAACACTCTTCGAACTTATGAAAACTCGCTATTTTCGCTTCTCTAACAATATCACAGTCACATGTTTTCTCGAAGACGAAATGTGTGTGCTTTCGGTGCTGATCGGTTAGATCGCAATGATACAACACATGACAGCAGATAAAGCATTCGTTCTAGAAACGTCAATATATTACATGAATTTATTGTTTATTTGACAAAACATGTTAATAATATTACGTGAAAAAGCATTTAGGGACCACTACCATTCATTTACAGCAAATATCAAGGAATTTGTTTCAATGCAAAGCTCAAACTTCTTTATAAACGAAAAAATTCTGACCCATACGCAAAGTAGTCAACTGAGGATCTCGTGACAGTTGCCATCACGTTATCTGTGGCGTGTTCTTATGGTTCATACACAACTTGTGTGACTTCTTCATGCATAAGGGACTTCCTAGGTGGTAAAGCCAACATCTAAACTGCAGAGTCAACATCACCCACACGAAATGAATATTCAGAAGGGTTATCTTAACATGAAGAGCGACTTGAATCTATAACTATATAAGAAGTTGAAGTTTGTCCACGGTGGTCAAACGTTCTTAGGAAGAATCACTATGAAGACGGCATTTTTGGTGAGTTTTTTTTATAGCATTTTCCATCTTTTAGTATATTTGTTGTTACACATTTCAAACTATGTTTATTAATATAAGTAAAGAATCTCTCACTAATATCATTCTCAAAAGTTTCTTTTTCTAATTCTTTTGCTGCTACATATCCAATCATTCAAAATGTTCAATCATTGTTTTAATTTAAAACCTCTGAAACTAATTTGCCGAGGCATAAGTGTCATTGTGCTTAATGAGACCGATGAGAAAATTTGATATTTCTTACTCACAACTTATTTATTATTTACTAATGAGAATTTATATATTTAACTCGTGTACCGGACGGCAAGATTATATTTCTGGAAAATTATTCAAAATCAGTTCGAAAAGGTTCTTTCGTGAACATTCACAAGTAAACCAGTTGTAAAACATGACATATTTTCACGCAATGTAAGTTGAAAATGATTAGAAAAAAGTCTGCCGCAAGAGATTTGCCCCACTGTTCCTGTGTGGATATGACCAATCCATCTCTTACTGGAAATGGAATATTATAAATAATAGTTGGTATTGGTATTACAGAATACCTTTCAAATATCGATTGCTTACAACAATGAATTCGATATATTTATGTATTCGGCATTTTGCATTTTGGGTTAGATAGTCCGACTTTGCCGGCCAGCTAACGGTGCCTAGACCTAGTTTAATACTCACGCTTGAGAGGTAAGATATACATGAGCTTGTCTTCGTCACAGAGCGTCAAAAACTGAGAAATAAATTAAAAGTAAAGTTTAAAGTAAATCTATCATTCTATATCTGCCTCGACCAGGAATCGAACCCGAGAACACACCACGGAAAGCAAGCTCACGTCCTAGAGGAAATTAATTCTATAATAGCCATTAATTGATAAACTGAACTTAACAATTATTGTTTTGTAATTTATTAAATAATTAGAATAATAAATTGTTCAACAATTGCCCTATTTTAATGACTGTTTTTCTTCCCAGATCTTCCTTCTGCTCGTCGTTGTGGCTTTGGCAGCCGCTGCACCGAATCATCACAGGCGGCCGCCGTGTCGTCGTGGGGGATTTGGCTGCGTCATCATTGATCCCATTTATGCCATAAACGCTACCACTTCTGCTTCGGCAACAGATGGATGATGTCTGAATCATTTGATCTCTTGAAAAACTATCCTAAATGTGCTCTTAATGGAAATAACTGTCTATCTTAAATAAATGCATGATTCGTGTTATCTTGATGTTTCATTCCTCTCTTTCGCAATAAGAAATACCTAGATCAATAGCCTCTCATGTGTAAGCACGAAACTAATTTAACAGAGTTTCCAGAGGTTCCATCAGAGCAGCCGGGCAAAGCTGCGAGATCAACATTACGGGGAATGCAAGAGTGTATCGTCCCAGCTATCATATGGCCCGTAACCATATTAAACGTTTTAATTGTGGCCCTTGAGACCTTGCAAGTTGGTCACCCCTGCTGTATACTAACACACAAATATCCATGCGCTGGGCGGGATACGTACTCGCGATCCTTCCGCCTTAGCGATCTTGGCGATTCAAGCCGGCTAATTTGACTCTGTATAGGCACCTCTGAACCAATAGAAGTATTTCCATTCGCGAGAATAATTTTTGATTACACAGAAGTGTTTCTTAAAAATGTGAAAGTAAGATTTAATAGCAATATGTTAAAAATAATTATTAAGTGTTGTCACGAAAATTAAACTAAACAATCGGAACCGCGATGGGCCAGATAGTGGCATCTTACTCGAGAAAGCTGTTGCGTTGCACGTATTCTGTATGAGCTGCAATTCTACCAAAAAAATGAGTAATTGCTTTTATATTATAACATTTTAATTAATTTTTACCGGAACACCCATGAAATATTTTACTTCATATTCCGTCAATAGTATTAAGCGTGTGATACCTGCATTTTAATAGTCACTGAAAATTTAAACATGAATCTCAAAGTTTCATTTTTTGAGTCTGGTCAGAATTGAACTGTATGAAGCTATGCGCATGCATGGATAAAGATTTACTGCAGCAAATCATTCCTTCACAGCTCGTTATTCTTATCACCCCATTCACGAGAAAAAAACGTGTTCTGTGTTTAGGGTTTTCTTGTCTTTCAAAATTATCTAAGTAGTAATGTTTGCTATAAAATATTATTGTCGAAGCCTAAAGAAAGATTTTATTTTGTGAAAAGGTGTGGTCAGCGCTCTTTATAACATAACGATCACACCTCATTCTTATATTACGGTAATGGAAAATACTCAACGACAACTAACACACTAGAAAATGAGCTTTCCGTTACGAAGATACTATATATTCCATTAAACAGTTTCCAAAAAACTGAATGCAATGAATGTTTCTGTAGAGAAATGTTTACTTTGGATAGGAAAAGGAACAAAATGACTTATAAGTCGTAAGAAAGCGGCATGAATAATATCGCATCAGCAAACATACAAGGTACTGACGTTCTAAGCGTAGAAAAAAGTACATTATGCGGGAGTGCACATTCGTTCATCATATTAGAATGGAATATGTAACAAGAGTGTCGTTCAATTAACTCTCGTACCATATCCACTTTTTCCTATCCAATACTATTTCTGGGGTCTTTTCTGCCCCTCTCTGATACATTACTGTCTCACTGTCAACTAATTGTGGAAAAATACATTCAAACCAGAGGGGGGGAAGTGGTGGCGGAAAGGGGACCGAACCCTTACGTAATGTCTTACTTTCTTTTACTTTATTTCTTTATTAAGTTGTTGTCATTTATTTATTAAGTCTTGTCAATATGCCATTCAAGATGTGGCAGTAAATAAAAATTTCAACAGCAAAGTGGTTCTACAGATGAAGTAGAGGTGAATAAGGAACATTATAGTTAAATTGCTGTAGATCTGAGAAAAAAGTTCAATAATAAATAATTCGTCAATTAAGAAAAAGAGCATGCGAGTTACTTAAACATTTGGTTATATATTGTATTTTGGTGAATGTGAAAGACAGTTGAAAGGGCGAAGTCGAAAGATTTATGAAATAAAATCCAGTCAAAAACTGATTAAGGGAGAGAAATTCCAAAACAATTTCGGATGGAATAGTATCAAAAACAGTTTTGTCTACAGGAGAAATGAGTGGTATATAACATTATTAATCAAATGTACAGTAAATGAAAATAATCTACAGAAGTTTATATACACGGAAACGATAGGAGGTTGCTGTAGGCTTCATTTGTAGCCGTGGTAAAAATACCGGAGAACGAAGTTAGGAAGCATAGAGAACGGTAGTAGGCGGCAAAGCGTACAAATCACCGAATCACTGGTCGCGAATTTCTTCTTTTTTTTAAGTTTCGATTTGCAGTGAAAAAGTTTTGAAATAAGGGAATGAGTCATACAGTGAAGGTGGAGATATGGAATAATGGACAGAAGTGAAGATTCCTGAGTGGCGATAGAACGATGGGTGGTGAAACATAAGCTTGACATCGCTGCAGTAAAAGGAAGCGAATAACTTTGAACTTTGTTACTCGAAATTAATATAACAAGGCTAAAATTGGTTACCGATTCAAAGGGAGAATTAAATTTTAAAACTAAATAGCCATAACAGCATGCATGCGTAGTAAGATGGTGGCATAAATGAGTTGTTGAGTTAATATAATACAAATATTTGTGAATATTTCAGAAATATTCTTTTTCAAAGTTTTTCGTATGTATTGTGACAGAACTTATTACCCCCTTTATTTATTTGGTTTGGCTAGGTGTTTGTTTATATAATTCGGCGCTTTTATCTCTTCGAGATTTCAGCATTCGTCTGTTTCTCTCTTGTATGCTGAAAATACCGTTACGACGTATGAACGGACTACGTTATGAATTTATTAGTGTACTGGTTAACTAATGTTTAGAAATAATAACACCTTGTTTACTGAATTATATTTCAGCGGCATGAAGTGTCGCTGCAATTTATTTATTGTAATACATTTTATCTTTCTTTTCTGATTCAAATTTTAACAAACTTTGTTCTTTTTAAATATTAAACTTTCTTTCACCTAATGAATGATGGCCATCGAAATTTTATAAGAATTAACTTTTATAATCTTTCTTTCTTAACTTCACTTATTTACTAAGACATTCTTGACCATGAAAAATATATTATTGCAATGACTCTTTATGCTTAATTACTCTTAATTAACTGCTTAACTAACTTTCCTGGAGCTGAGGAAACGCTGCTCTCCTGGCAATGAGAAGAATGATTCGCCAAGTAAATGTGGTCTTTCCATTATTTCTTGAATTTCCTCACTAAGTTCGAATTTGCATTCGTTTTTTCATCGTTTGCGTCCTATCTGACTTGCTTTCTACACTATTATTTATTTACGTTTACGACTAACATTTCGCATCTTAAATATGTTCCATTTTTACTGTTCAACTTTATACAGCACGCAGATATATATCCTCCCTCTACCAAATCGAGACAAATTCTAACTTAAACTTTTCTGCAATCATTTATGCTAGTCACGGCCAAACGTTCTCTCTCTACCACCTCGAGACGAATTTTGATGATAAATTGTCATCCCCAAGCTTGTTTCTGCTGAACCCCTGTTCTTATTGTTAGTGTCGGAATCCGATGCTAGTTTGTCCTTTGAAACAAAGCTATCAGAATTCTGTCTATCCTAATGATGCTGTCTATCCTAATGATGTCGCTTTTATTAAATAACATTTATAAAAATATTTTTCTAATAATTCAAATATTTATGTGAACTCGTCTTTCTAACTGTTTAGTGACGCTTTACTCTCCAAATACTCATTTCTGTTTATATTTCATAGTATTTACCCTTACTTCCTATTTTATTCCATTGGCATATTTTCATATTTTATTTAAAAAATGCCAAATAGTTATTTTGACCTATCTCAGTATATTTTATTATTTTTGTGCAGTATATTGTTGTAATTTAGATGAAGAGACAATGGGAATAGGAAATGGAAACTAATATTACTTTAGAGTAAAATAAATTAGAGTTGCACCGATAATTGCGGTCGCAACATTGAAAATTTCGAACTTTTTAATTTTTTTAAAATTCAGATATGAGACGAAAGTTACGACCAATGTAAGCTACGTATCCTATCTCCATAAAAATCAGTTAAAACATCCCACTTCTCGAATGGGACGTCATATCGAATCTCGACCCGAAATAAATTGCTGGACCCTGTGGATTAATGAATTATTTACAAACGACGGCAAGTAATAGTAGAGTTGGAAATGTTAACGCCCAGTATAAGCGAAATTGTCAATTTATCGAATAATTAAACCTAAGTCGTAAAATGAATGTAAAAGTTACGGATGCTCCAAAGCGAGGGACAAAGAAATATATAAATTATATTAAGCAATCCATTCACGAACTGTCTCAGTAGCTCCCATTCGTAGTACCGCGTTGGATGCATAGGAGGTATATTAAGTATTATTAAATGTAGACATGAAATTAATCCACTAGCGAAAGCGGTCTCAAAACATTTGATGTGTTCTATGCATTATGCGAACTAGTTAAGAGGCTAGAATGTTCTTTCTTCTCACCAGGAAACAGAAGTAAGCTCGCCTTTTTAAATTAATTTATATTAATTTTAATTTTGATAAATTTAAATTGACATTATCAAATCGAATATCTTCTTTTAAAGTTCCAATTCTCATACTAGTTTGAGTGATTTTTGACAACCTGGTGATATAAACTCAAACAGTCTATAAGTAACCATTATTTTTTTAAGAAAACTATAATAAATGGGGGGGAATAGAATATACATTTAAAGATAAGATACTCGAACTCAGGTCCATCGAGTTTACTCGCCGTCACCCTTACCAGTACGCTACAGAAGAGTCGTGAAGTCTGAACTTGGGCCGATGCTTAAAAATGTAATTGTCTCAATAAAAAAGTTTTCCTGGATGCAATTCACAAATACGGAGATTTCGTCAGAAATGGGAATAGCACCATATTAGCACTTCTTCGCCCTTAGGAAGGAACTTCGTAAGAGCAGAAAGTTATCATTACTTTCCCGTCTTTAGGAAGGTGCTTGGTAAGAAGAGAAAATTATGTAACCGTGCGACGGAAAACGCCGATTTTTCTGCAGAAAACCTTTTTTCGCCAGGCCCTGGTGACTAAAAAGTGGATAACTCCAGTTGTTAAATATAGAAAAAATCCTTTCACATGTGGTGAAGCCAGAATCCATGTTTTGTGGGTCATTGATACCGAAAAATCGAT